CCATAACTTGCTCAATTTTTATCTCATGATGATGATCTTGGACTTTTTGAAAAGCCCAAGATGTCTACTTCAAAACCTATTTTGATTAAATTTGCATTTGAAGACTTTATCTTGATGTAAAGTTTCTTGGAAAAAAGTGTGTTTTGTTGACCTTCTGAAAATGACCTGTAATGTATGAGGTTGTATCTTTCAAATGGTGCATTTCTTGGATTTGAGGGAAAAATAAAAGTTGTAGAGAATTGAATTCTCTTCAAAATGATCTTTGGTTGGGGAAATGGATGAAGTATATGAAGTTTATGCTTGGTTAAAGTTCAGTTGACCCTAATTTAGCAATTCTTGACTTTTGATAAATTAAGAGCATTCCTTGAGGAATCATGACCAAACCTTGATAAAATGATGGATATCACTTCAAAATATTGATGTTTACCAAAAATATTTGAAGTTTGACCGTATATTGGCCATAGTTGACTTTTGACCTAGTATAGTTGATTTTCAAGCATTTGAGCAATTGATTGAGCAAGCTTGTAGTGCAAGGCATGAAACTTGGCATGGAAATTCTTGAGGACATATTAGGGACCATGTAAATTATTTGGAGCCTTTTCAACCCAAACATCTTGGTTAAAAGTGAAACCCTAGTTGGAAGTTCGTTGCTTAGGAGACAAATTTGTCTGATCAATCCTTGGTCAACCTTGAGCAATTGAAGACCTCAATGAGCATGTCTTGAGTAAAATTGGCGGGAAAATTTTAGGGTACAATAGCCTCCATATGCTTTGTCCCTCTTCTATCCTTGTTTCTTCTCCATTTTCTTCTTGCTCTCTCTCACATGATTCTCTCTCTATTTCGGTTTCTAATAGCCAACCACAAAATCCCTATGTAAATCGTCCAACAACTACAAACCTCTTTCGGTTTCAGTCGATGATTTCATACTCCCATGATGGCTTTGATTTATAATTTTATGTCAATGATGACATGACTCTCTGCTTACTCGGTTTCACGGCAGTTTCGCTCTCTAGTTAATTCTAAATGTAGTGCTTAAACACCAGCAACGACAATAACAACTACAAACTGGACCAAATTACAGAAGAATAAAACCTAACATATTAAGAGCTGATATTAAAAATCCAATATGAATTATTACAGGTAGAACATAATGGTATGAAGAAAATTAAGAAGAAAAACTCACAGAACCGAAGCCAGATCAGTGAGATTCTGACGCCGACGAGGTTCAGGCATGCTACTTATCTTTATTTTTTCTCTTTATGAATTTTTGGTTGGAATGTTGTTGTATTGGAGTTTCTTCTGTTATTTCTTATGTTGGATTTCTTGGTGTTTTGAACAGAAGCTGAAGATATCTTTTATGCGATATTTCAGTCTGTTATGTTAAACTCTGTGTGAAATTGTTTCATTTTTTATGCGTGATGAAGGTTTGTTGTTTTGGAGAAAAGTCAGTTTATGGTGATGAAGGTTTGAAAGTGAAGGTGGATTAAAGGTAACTGGAAGGATATTAGAGTTACGGGGTGTATTGCAGGGGTACGTGAGGTTTATAGAGGTTGAAGGTTTTGTGTGAATGATGGTTTTTATGCACTTAAGATAGAGGCATGTTAGAAAGAAAATGGAGGGTTTGATGAAGAGATTTATGGAAAGGCTGAGAGTTTTGTGAAGTAAGGATTATATGGCATGGTTGAGAAAATGGTTATGCAGGGTGTTGGAAATATTGTGATGGGTTGAGAGGAGTATGCAGAGTGTTTTTTTTCTTGGATCCCTTGTTCTCTCATACTGATGAGTTTTTATATTGAATCAAAGTGGATTTTGGCGGGGAAAGTTGATGAGTTTTATACAAACATAGTATGTTTTTTGTAGCTTTTCTAATGCATTTTTGTTTTACTATTTTTGTGAAATTCTTGCACAGGTTTGGAGTGGAGTGGACAAGGTTGTTTTGACAGCTTTTCTCTTTTGTTATACAGGGCTGAAGTTTTAACTGGTTTGGGCATCTTGCAACAACTTGTGCACGGAATTAGGGTATTAAAGACAACAATAGGTTTTGGAGCTTATTGTGCATGAGGACAGCAAGCATATTGGAGCAAAGTTTGGAGTGTAATGTCATAGAGAAGTCTCTTTCCATTTTGTATTTTTCTGATCTTTCCATGTGATAATACTTGCATTTTTCCATCTCTTTTCTATTGAATTTTTGAACTGGTTTTGTGTAACTTTGTGGACAGATTTGACTGCTTATTAGACGAGCAAATTGGCATCAAATTGGAGAAAAATGACCATGGTATGAAACTTTGAAGAATTATCATGATGTCTTTAGATTTAGGCTAGGGATTTTTTATGTAATCTTGTAGCATTCCAACTTAATAAGATGATGAGACATGAACAATTTGTGAAGTTCTCCATTTTATATGTTTGATTGTAATCTTGAAGATTATCCTTGCGATGCTTTACTTAAAATGATGGAGATACTTGGATGAACCGAAATTTGAATTCATGATGAACTTTGTTGGAAGTCTTGAATGACAAACTTGAATCTTGCAGGAATTTCTTTGAATGAATATTACAAAGCATGACTAGGATTGAATGATACTTGGATAGTCCACTTTGAATTCCACACCAACCAAATATATGAATTCTTGAGTCAATCTTGATAAATGACGAGAATCGATATTTGGACTTGTATCTTGAATTTCAAACAAATCACATGAACAATTTTTTTTCAAAATTAACAATCCAATTGTTCGTAACCCTTAAATCAAAACAACTTAGATCATGTAAGCATAGAAACTCAAATCAAACCTAAAAGGCCTTGAATGATCACTAGAAGAGGTTTTTGAGCCGAAAGTTACCACATTGAGGAATTGGCATCGTGAAGTCATTAGAACTCAAGAAAACTTTAAATCAAGAAAATGATCTATAACGTTTCAATAAATCCCAAGGCCTTCTAAGCACAATTCGACTTCACTTTTTAAAGAAAACTTGTAGAGGACATTCTTCATGACAATGCACAAAAAGAATCGTCTCAAGATATTGAAAATTCAAAGAGTTACGATCCTTGAAAGTTGGACACAACTATTTTGAGATTAGGTCAAATTCGTAAAATAACCTCTAAAATATTCGAAATTCTGATGATCCTCCGCACATAATTAGCTCTTGACTTGTAAAGAGAAGTTGGAGATGACGTCAAGGAGAGTCATACACAAAAAGAACCACTCAAAAATATTGAATAATGAAGAAGTTACAATCGTTTGAACTTGATCTTGAAAATGTTGACTTTTGATCAAAGTGTTTTGAATCAACTTGCAAATTTGATCTTTCCTCGCATTCTCAGACATATCGATGCACATATGGGCCAGTGATGATAAAATCTTGACTGTGCTTTTGGTTAAAGGTTAAACTTTGATGAAGTAGTCTTTGAGAATTGATGATTCACCATACTTGAACACTTGAGGGATCCAAAATCCTAATTGAAGCGCAACACCTGATGCTCTTGATTCAGACATGTCTCTGTACATGAAACCAAAAAAACACAAACATACACCTTTGTATGGAATTAGAAGTTAGTGATGCATAAAATAAAATGTTCACAATGCATAAGCATTGCTCGAAGGTGAGCGGATTAAAAACCAACTGTATCTCATGACCTTGATGTTTTATAAAAATGCAAATGAAGATGGGATCTTAGGTCAAAAATTTGAATATGACAGCGTCCCAACTAATATATTTGAACATATCACAAACTCAAATAGCGTACCGACTATATATACTCCTCGCGTATTTAATTCTGAGAATTGCATCCTGCGTATCCGAATGATATCACGTACCGAGACGAATTGTGAATCGTGTGACTATGATTTTAGGTTAGCAATGTCAATGGCTATGTTGGTTTTGTCTATGTAGAAAAGTGAAGGGTTGAGTATAATATTGAAAGAGTTTTAGTGTATAAACAAAAAATAGGATTATGGGAGAATCAATTTGGATTCGTATGTTCAATGATGTTAACTGAACTGAAGTTGATACTAATGCTACTAGAGAGATCGATCAATGGGATATTCGTGATATTTTTTAATTGAAAATTTGAATATATATGTGATGTTGTTATTGTCTCGTTTGGGGCATTAATTTACCAGTAAGAAATGGGATTATTTCTTAGTTGCACCTTATAACTAATTAGATAAAAAGTAATTTGATTGCATTAAGAGTTTGTTCGATTTTTCTACAAATGTTGAAATTTTTAGATTGGTTGAGCTTTTTTGAGTTGATGAGTTTTGTTGAATTTGTATGGATTGTGCTGAATACTTGAGATTTTTGAATCCCAAGTGACAGTAACCTATCAAGACGCAATAAACATCTCGCAAGATTAAAATATCACGTAAAATTCCATAATAGAAGATAACATCGGAAACAAAAATTGAATAATTGATTAGCGACCACTATTAAAAAAAAATTAAGAAACCAAAAGAAAACATTGACATATTTATAAGAACTACAAATATATTTAGTTAGATATTACAATATTTTATTTTACAATATCATCTTTTACAACAAATAATATTTAGTATATTACAAAGTACAGAAAAATGTAACCGGCATATTTTAAAGATATATGTTAGTTGCAAATCTGAAAGATATTTTTATATAAAAAAACACAAAAAATCATCTCAAACATGGCATATATTTTAAAGATGGAGTACTAGAATTCTAAGCGCATAGACCTTAAATTTCATCTAGCCTTCTTTTTGGATATAACTGCATTTTGATTTTTCTAGTGTAAAAGAAAGCAACGGTTCATTCTGTATCTACACTGAGCCATCAGAAACAAGTAAAATCCAGGGAACATGTTTGCTAAATATACTTGATAGGTGTATGTTAAAGATCTTGATGAAGGCCCTAATCTAGAAGTTTCAAAATGACATTTACAAAGGGCAAACTATTACTTAAGGAAAGTCATGCAAATCAAAAGTGCTTACCTGATCTATTTACTCATATAATAGGAGCCATTCATATCAGTCCTGATTTCCCTTTCCATTTTTTTTGTTAATCTTCTTAGCCTCTAAGTGATACTTATCCAGATCTTCATCAAGATCTTTCACAGACAACTTTTGGAAATTGCGTTTTGTTTCTACACGACGGCGGTCATAACTCTCGAAGTTGGGATCAGTAGCTCCAAGAGACACTTTCCTTATATGGAACTTCTCTTTTCCATGGCCCATTGGAAGATAGCCATGTGCAAAGCTGTTATGGAACCTGATACCTCCAATCTTCCTTTCTTCCCTGTGAAAGAAAATGAATATCAAACTACAAGTAATTAGAAAGGAGATACTTATATCAACAACTACATGTATTTAACCCCATATCCATGACAGAACATATATATGCGCACTCGAGCACCATACACACGCTAATAAAACTTGTGATTTCATGGAATTTACTGGATTTTTTTAGATGATACTTAAGATACTACACACTCACAACTCCGACTAGATACATGAAACTTAGAGAGCTACGAGTACATAAGATCAGGAATCAGAATTTCCCACCTTGCAAAGACGCGATCATTTGTTCTTCCCAGTATGCTGCTTTGACCAAGAGGAGTATCAGCAGGAGTAATAGAGTTTTTTCCAATTTGCTTATTGGCAGGAGTAATAGAGCTTGTTCCAATTTGCGTGTCAGCAGGAGTAATAATGCTTGTTCCAATTCCAACAAGCTCAATTTGCAGTGGCTTTCCATCAAGCCTCGTATTGTTGTACCTTTTGAGGGCTGATAAAGCATCAGACTGCCTTGTAAAGACAACTTCTGCTGTTCCTTTTGATCTCCCAAACTGATCATAATGAATGGAATACCTTTCCAACACACCCTCTTCCGAGAACAACAGCTGTAATAGGCAGACGTGAGTTTTCAATTTTTCAAGTTATTTGGCCGACAATTAATAAACAGATTCGTTCAAAAAAAAAAAGTTCTAAAAAGAAGGGGGTGAGCAAAAAAGATCATTGATGAGTATCATTTGGGAGTAGTATTAGTGTTCGGATACACGTCATACCTTCAAATTGCAAATTATGACTCCCAGATTTAACTCAAAGAGGACATTAAAAAAGCCTCTGAAACTCAAATTCAGAAACCAAATTGATATGGGTTGTCCTCATACATAATATTTGCTCACTAAACTAATTGAATACACTAAGCAAACAGTGGCAGGCAGCAACATTCTCAGTAGCAATATTTCCAAAGTAAAATATAAGTTCTAGACAAGAGTTGAAAGACATGAACTTCAGTAAAGCTAGGTGCTCACAAAAGCATGACAGACAGAGAAAATTGTTGCACCAAAAAGATTAAAATATGATAGACACAAACACACACTACACACAATGACACAAATTATGCTGTTATTATGAAAGAAAACCTAGTAGCATATGAAATGCACAATTAAAAATTATGCAGGGAATAGCCATTCCATGAGGCATTTTGTAGTACTTAATTCTCAAAATTTCAACTCTGTCCGTCTACTTAATTCATTAAAATTTATGTTCACGACTCACATGCAACGATATAGATAATCCAAAGCAATTAACACTATAAAACCAAAGTTTGATATCAGAAACTACCGAAGGCTCAACAGAAACAACATAAATTGATTAATAATAATCAAAATAGAAGGATCAAGTCACTCTTAGAGTAACTATAAGTATAGTTACTTCCCTCAATAACTCATTACAAACACTTTTTTTTTAACCAATCCAGCTACTAAATTAAAAATTCTTCTTCAATTGATTAACTCCACAATTTCTTTAAAAATTTCAAAGCTATTAGATACTTCAAAAATAACTTCAAATAAATGTATCATAATTTTTTTTTAAAATAAAGTAAATATCAACTATAAGATTACATAATTTCAAATTTATATACAAAATTTTACGTAGATCATCATTAATACAATGCCAAATAATCAACATTTATGTTGCTGAAATTAAGTAGTACTTATAATGAATTGTGAAGCAAAGTAACTAAGCTTAAAGTTACTCACAGAATCTCTCTCTGAGGTCTTTTCACAATAATAACATCTGTAACACACCGACACTTCGGAAAAGGTGTGTCGGTGATAGTGTCTTTGTTAGTTCAAAACAGACACCAACACTTATGATTTCGTTCGATTTATTTATTTTTTTCAAATTATTACCAATGTCAACATGTCAGTGTTCTGTTTCTTCTGTTTCTGGTGTCAGAAACATAGACACTTGTGATTACGTTTCATTCATTCATTTTTTCAAATCATTACCCGTTTCAACGTGTCACTGTCGTGTTTCCGGTGTCCATACTACAGTATTACTTCAGCAATAACATGATATTGCAACAACAATGACAAATAACAACAGTATGGCAAAATAAGAGAAAAAGAGGATAACATTTCAACAAAGATGATGATGATGATTATGAAAAAATAACAACAAAAATAGTAATAGAAATAGTAATAATACATGAATATCTTCGTTGGAAACCCTATCATCCAAGTTAGACAAATAGAGTTTAGTGATAGGTCGAGTTTGCACAGCGTCACGATGGCGAACCATTTCCGGAACATCAACGCTGCTTCTTCGCAACGCTTCTCTAGCAACCTGCATTTGCATCGCTTACTTTATTTCTTTCGTTTCAAAATCAAAAAGCAATAACACTCTTCCAGTTCGTTTTTCTGTTGTTTACAAGAATGAGTGGATCGCGAAGTAACCTGAGATGGAGGAATAGAGTACGGCGTGATTCTGATCGCGTTACGAACGCTGATGTTGCGGTTTGGTCCGTTAGCGGCGGTGAATCGGCGGCGAGCGGTGGTGGTCTGGATGATGTCGTCGAATGACATGTCCATGCCGGCGGGGATTGGCGGAGGAAATTCGAGTGAGAGTAGGGTTTGTAGAGAGAGAGTGTTGCTTGCTGGTAGTGAGTGAGTACATAAAAAGTGAGGGGGTGTGTTTGAGAAATAGAGGGAAAATTGAGAGAGAGAGAGAGAGAGAGGGTTTTGTAGGGTGCGGAAGGGAGCATGCATGTGGTGTGGAATCTGGGTGAAGGTTGAATAATATTTTGACGCGTGAAATTTTCGGAGAGGAATTTTCCTACATGAAAAATATTTGTTAATAAAAAAAATTGAAAACAAGAAAAAGAAGAATAAATTTTAAATTATTTTTTATTATAATCATTCTATATGATTTTAATTTATAATAAATTAAAAATTATTTACTAAATTAGTTTTATATATATATATATATATATATATATATATATATATATATATATATATATATATATATATATATATATATATATATATATATATATATATATATATATATATATATATATATATATATATATATATATATATATATATATATATATATATATATATATATATATATATATATATATATATATATATATATATATATATATATATATATATATATATATATATATATATATATATATATATATATATATATATATATATATATATATATATATATATATATATATATATATATATATATATATATATATATATATATATATATTATTCAAATTATTTTGTATTAAATAATATTACTTATAATTAAAATAAATATCAAATGTTATTAAAATACATACCAATTAAATTTTTATTTATTTTAGGAGAGATGTTTTTTTTTTAAAAATGATATTTATCTACTTTAGGACATATGAGATATGAGATAGTTTATTTTACCAAAAAAAAAATTCACATGAATAATAATATTTATACGATTAGTTAATCTGTTAATCGTGACAGTTAGAATTTTAGTAATATTTAATTTTTATTTTAATTATTTATTAATTAATATTTTCGAATGGGTGTGATAAAGAAATTTATATCGATAGTATATAGTAATTAATAATAAAAAATTATTATATTTTAATAAAAATATTTATTTTAAAATAAATAAGTTATTTAATTATTAATATAATTTTTGTTTTTTTATGTTCTTTCTATTTCAAATTAAAAATTATTTTGTGATAAAAAGTATTTTAAATTATGTGGGAGAATTTTGAAAAGAAATTATCTTTTACTACCTAACTAAGATCCGAAGATGTTTATGCACTTTCAATCTTACCCTTTAATTATAAAAAATTATATTACATAAAATTCTTTTTAGTAATTGACTAAATATAATAATACTATCCAATCAAATTTTTCTTTTATGTCAAGTGGCACTTAATTTTTCAAATTCCCTTGAAGTTGTTTCTCTGCGAAATAATCGTTAGCCTCTTATTAAAGGTTACTTACGGGATCGGTTACAATAATCGCATACTTTAGTGTTTAAGGTGTGTTTGGATTGAAAAAGAGGATAAAGGGGCAAAAGATAAAGACATGTCTGATGTAAATAAATCAAAAGACTGTAAATTGTTAAGAATTTAAATGTGGGAGCATTCATACATTGTTAAGTTTGAACTCGTTTTTCTCTTAGATGTATATACTTTGAGTGTATTGCAATTGAATATGAAGAAATGTGACCTGTAACACAAATATAGAAATTTGCTTAAATAGACATCCTAAATATGTAACTGTCGATGGTTACTAGCCCAATTTTGGGATTTGTGGGGACTGTTAGAGTATTCTCACGCTTGCTGGCTCTGCACGTTGATAATTGTTCCCGCCAATATGCATTTTCTCTTTAGCTTATTCGATCATCGTTTTTCTCGACAGCTGCCCCACGGTGTACCTGCCTTCGTCGACTAGCTCATTTGGTCGACGCGTTCTCCCTGCTCAACGCATCTTATCGTTTTCCACTACTCTATGCCCCTTTAGCCAAATAAATCCCCATAACTTTAGGTTTATTCTCTTAGTCGAAAATTGTTTGTCAACAAATTATCCCCTAAAACGCCATATTCGACGGAGTCCTGTCGATGGGAGAATCTTGCCGTTTTTCCCTCTTACATTTTCGACTGTACGCCGCTCTGTAGGGATGATGTCATGCGTGATCATGACTACTTTCTGCGCAACAGTTTCTCATGTTACTTCAATCACTTCTCATGATTACTCCTAGTATTTAGGGTATGGGTTTCTAACAAACTCCACTAACTTTTCCACTTCTTTTGGTCTGCTCGCGCTATTCAAGCGATATTTGTTCTGATCCTAATGGTTTTGATTCCTCTTTAAATAATCTTTCAAGAACCCCTCATTTCTTTCTTCTGCTTCAGTTTCCCATCTTCCAATTCTTGAAACTCCTAGAGAAACTTCTTCTGTTTTTGCAATGGCCACTCCAACTGATATCCTTTTCACTGGTGATAAGCCCATAGCTTACACTATCTCTGTCAAACATAGCTTGAACTTTATTTCAAATCCTCCCACTAAGGTGAAATCCAAAGTCCATACATGGAAACAACAAATGTTGATCCTTTTTGTTGTTGCAGGGAAACTTTTCGCATTCCATGGTCCTTACCGAGGCCCAAAAATGAATCCTAAAGCAGTCAGTCAATACTTTCCTTGTTTTCTTCATGTTATCCCTTCTGCTTTTAATCACACAAAACTTATTGATGTCAGGTTTTTGGTTTCTGATACCACAGTATTTCCTTCTGTACCTACTCCAGATAATACCGCATATCTTTCTTGGCTTGACAGAGTCCAAGGACAATGACAACCCCAATGGGAAATACTCTGTATTTTTGACGTGATTCAACTCTCACATAACTCCCATACTCTTGATCCTAACTTTATTCTCGCCTCACTTTTCTTTTGGAAAGGCTCGACCAACACTTTCCAACTTCCTTGTGGGATGTTGACTCCCACCTTATTCGACGTGGCGGCCATTACTGGGCTTCCTCCATTGGGTATGACTCAACGCAACGGTTTCGACGAAACGCACGTTTAGCTTTAACCAAACAGATTTTGCCAGCTACATTACTGATCACTCACCGTATGGATTTGAGTGATGTTTCTGATACTGAACACATAGCTTTTTGTGATGCAGTGGGAGAACTGCTTGAGGTTTTGCGTTTGTGTTTGCAAATGTTTCGGTTTAGCAAGAGTCGCTACCGACTTTTATTTTATCCAAAAGGAAAGGTAAAAAAGCACAGGAAAGACCTTTGAGATTGTTTTTGAGTTCGGGGGTAGATTATGAAAAGGGAAGGTGCTATCACCCTTTTCATCCATGGTTTTTCATGGGCTCTTAGTTACTTGTTTTATATCACTTGCTTCTGCTTTTCAATTGTTTGAAAAGGTGTTTTGTGTGGTTTTGAAAGTATTTTGAAAAGAGACCATCGTTTTGGCAATCTTTGTAATGATTCTTGTTTGCAAGAATGTATACAAAGATGTTTATCTTTTGAAAAATGTTTCAATGTTTGAAATTTTGTTTGGAAATTGTTTTGAAATTGTGTGTGTTTGTTTGAAAATAGCAAGGATGGTTTGCAATTTGATCAAGTAACTAGAAGCATCTACCTACTCAAAAGTCTTTCCTACACATTTTTTAACCCTTTGACATTGTTGTTTTACCATTGTATTTGATAAACAACCTTATCTTTGGATGTTAAACGGGACGGGCGTGTGTCATCGTATGACTATGATAGCAATAGTGCCAAGTATCTTAGCAAAATTTAGGGACTAAGATCATTTGTTTTTTAGGCAACATTTTGATAGCGTCATCGGGGGACTATGATCTTTTATTTGATTGATTTTGCCAAGATACCTAGCATGCATACCATGGCCATGTTTTAAAGCAACAAAGTGGATGAAACCCTAGGGGTGCTTGTGTGCAATGTGTTGTCATTTTTCATGCATTTTTGTCTTGTATTAATAAGTCTTGCTATTTGTTTGATTTTTGGTCTTTGCATACAAAACCCTAGTTTACTATCATGGAATATGAAAGCGATAAAATGCGTAAAGTAAATCTAAAATATTACAACAATATTATGGGAAGGGGGTACAAGTTTGAATAGGGGATATTTGCACGAAATAAAACCCTAATTTACTATTACAACCCAATTGAATTTATACAATAAATAAATGAATAATTATTTAAATGTACAATAAAATATAAATATGAAAGAAATGTTTTGTTATTGTTTTATGTATGAGAAAATAAATTTATTTATGTCTTAAAAATAAGAAAATAAAAATGATTTTTTTTGAAAGGGTGAAAACCCTAATTTTGTTTTAAAGAAATTATGCTTTATATTATTTATTTTTTATTCAAGAAAAATAATAATAATATGTATAAAAATGTTAAAAATTAAAATATGTGAGAAAATAATATTTTATATGTATAATATAATAAAATAAAATATTTAAGTATTTTAATATTATTTACAATTTTATTTAAGAAAATAAAGTATATTGTTATTTAATAAACTATTTTTATGCCAATAAAAATAATAAAATAAAATGTGAAAAATTAAGAAAATATTTTTTGTGATTTTAAATATTTAGAAAAAATAAATAAAGTCAGAAAATATAAATTGTACAAAAAAAATATAAGAAATAAAAGAAAATGATCAAGGGGGTGCAAAAAGTAAAAGGGGGGTGCCAGCGCCAGGCCCAGACTCCACTTCATCCCTGACCTTTGTACACTTCATGCGCGTGTTTCTTCCTCAACCTGTATCTCTTGCATACGTGCATAAAAATGAAATCTTGCAACATGAAACTTGTAACATTTTTAGTCACGATTCCATTGATATAAAAAACATGACCTAACTCTTAAAGATCAAGAAGAATTTTATCAGCCCTAATTTCTGACCTAAAATTTTCAACAACTTCAACTATCAAATACTCCTAGCTCAGTCAATATAAATGGAAGCTATGCATATGTACAACTCAAGCACATTAAAGACTACATTTTTGCTTCACAAACCTAAGCCTAA